GTGCTAATGATCCATTGTTAGGCTGATGGTCCTTCTTGAGCATGTGAGCAGCTGGTTTTGGTTGTCAGCAGCAAACTGGTTGATCCACTCTGAGAAGGTGCTATTTAAGAGACTGAGCTGAATACAGCACCTCAGACTGAGGAAGTCTCTTGGATGGAGGACGAAACGTTTCTGCATTTTTTTATTTTTTTTTTGTTTCGTTTTCTTTTTTTGAATGTCCAGAGGATCAGATTTAACATTTTTAGATTTTTCTACCTGGATTGTTGAGCATGCATCAGGATAATTTAATTTTGACATTTTTATTAATGAGTACCTGCTGAGATTTGTCCAGTACAGTGTTTCTTTCAACCTTTATTTCTACAGGTTAAGAGCCTCACAGACTCATTTACAAGAGAGTACTGATTTCTTAACAAATAGTGATGACAGCAATGGGTAACAACTACAACAATAGACAGTCATAAAATAGGCATACAAATTTAAGTTTCTCTTTTTTTTTTTCAACAAATCAAAACAAAATGGCAACCAAAAGGACAATCAACAGGAATAGCAGCAAAAACAGTTAGATCACAAGACGGTTTAGAAAAGCTGAAGTTTATGGATGATTCTGAGAGGAAGATCTGAGAGGAGGGAGTTACAGTAGTCTAGTCGAGAGGTGACTAGAGCATTGATAAGGATAGCTGTGCTGGTGGGGGTAAGAAATGAACGGAGACGGTTCATGTTTCCAAGATGAAAATATGCAGGCCGAGTAATGTTATTGACATGAGATTCAAAAGATAATGTGCTATTAAGGACGACACCCAGACTCTTAGCTGTAGAGGAGGGAGAAACTGTGGAATCATCAACTTTAATTGTGAAACTATTACATTTGGATAAGGTAGACTTGGTGCCAACAAGGAGGAATTCTGTTTTATTTGAGTTCAGTTTAAGAAAGTTCAGATTAAACCATAATTTGATTTCACAGAGGCAGTCTGAAAGGAAGGATGGTGGAAGGGTGGTGTTGGGCTTGGTGGAGAGGTAGAGCTGGGTGTCATCCGCATAGCAATTCAATTAAATTCAGTTTATTTCTATAGTGGCAAATCGCAACAAAGTTGTCTCAGGGCACTTTACAGGAACATTCACATAAAAGCCAGTTAGTAAAGTTCTCTATCTAAGGAATCCAGCAGACAAGTTAAATCTTGGCTTTGTTGCAGTCTCCCATCCTGAGCAAGCACAGTGGAGACAGTGGAAAGAAAAAACTCCCTTTTAAAAGAAAGAAACCTCCAGCAGAACCAGCTCAGGACAAGCGGCCATCTGCTTTGACCGGCTGGTTGAGAGGACAGGAAGGAGAGACAAAAAAACACAGAATGGTAGGTCCATATATAGGTCTAGGTGTATCTGAAAGACAAAAAACAATAACATTGAAAATTAATTCCAATTTTTTTTTTAAGATAAGGCCAAGTGTAAGAAGATAAATTATAAACAGGAGAGGATCAAGAACAGAACCCTGCGGTACACCTGAAGTAACTGTGAAGGACTGTGATTTGAAGTTCTTGAGTTGGACAAAGTGCTGACGGTCAGAGAGATAAGATTGAAACCAATTTATAGCAATGCCAGAAAAACCAATGGAACGTAATCTATCGAGAAGAATATCATGTGAAATGTCATCAAATGCTGCACTCAGGTCAAGGAGAATGAGAATTGATAAAAGTCCAGAGTCGGCAGCAACCAGGAGATCATTGGTGATTTTAATCAAAGCTGTCTCAGTGCTGTGGAGGGCGCGGAAACCTGACTGAAGTTCCTCAAACAGATTATTATCAGAAAGATGACTGTGAACCTGGACTGCAACTGTTTTTTCGAGTATTTTGGAAACGAAGGTCAGAAATTGGTCTGAAGTTATTTAAGTCATTTGGATCACCACCTGGCTTTTTAAGAATTTGAGTTATTGCAGCAGTTTTGAGTGATGGTGGGACAAAACCAGAAGAGAGAGATAAATTAATCATCTCAGTTATTAGCGTAGATAGAGAAGGTAGACAAGCTTTAACTAAGTGTGTAGGAAGTGGATCAAGCTGACAGGTAGAAGACTTGGATTTATAGATGAGACTGCAAACTTCTGACAGAGAAGGGAGTTGAAAACTGGAGATAGGTGTCGTAGTGGGGCTATAAGAAAGACAAGCAGAGGAAGTGGATTGCAACATGGACAATTCCTGATGGATGGTTTCAATTTTAGCATTAAAAAAGTCCATAAATTTGTTGCAATAATCACTGGTGTACATGTGTCATGGGAGAGTATCTGGAGGTCGTAGAATGGTGTTCATAGTAGAAAACAAAGTTCTGGTGTTCCCATTACTTGTGCCAATTAAATTATCATAGTGGGCTGATTTAGCCATGCAGACAGAACCCTTGTTGTGTTTTATATGGTCTTCAAACAAATTTCTATGAACAATGAGTCCTGTTTTATTATAAAGTCATTCCAAACGGCGTCCTTTAGATTTAAGACAGCAGAGTTCTTGAGTATACCAGAGGGCAGAGCGAGAGAAGTGAACAGTACGTGTCTTAACAGGGGCAAGTTCATCCAAAATACTTTGAAGACTGCTGTTGTAGTACGAAACCAGGCTATTAGGACAAGATAGATTATTGTAATTAAGGGAGACATCCAGTTTGTTAAAGAGTACAGAAGAATCAATGTTCTTGATATTACGGAAATAGATAGTTTGAGATGACTGATATCTAGATATTTGTAGATTAGCATTAAAAAAGACCAGTTTATGATCAGATATAGGCAGGTTTGATGTGACACAGTGAGAGAGAGCTATACCAGAACAACAAACTAGGTCATGAATGTGACCTTTGGAGAGAGTGGGAAAGTCAATATATTGTGCAAGTCCAAAGCTGTCCAGGGTTGATATAAAATCCTTAGTTAAAATATGTGTGCGGTTGTCCATATGAACATTAAAATCACCCAGTAGAATTATATTGGGAGATTCTGAGCAAATAAATGATAAAAAAGTAGAAAATTATAAAAAAAAAAAAACATAATATTGTTCTTAGGTGGACAGTAGACAACAACTAAAATAGTAGAAACTGCTCCATTTAACTCCGGTTTCCTCCCACAGACCAAAAACATTCATGTTAGGCTGATTGGTAACTCTAAGGGGCCGTTTATACGGCGCATATTTTGAGTGCATCTGCAGCTTTCTCTCTGCGGTTCTGCTGTTCATTTACACGACACCAGAGCCCCCCCTTGAATCCGGAGTTTTTTCAACCCACCTTCCAGAGTGGAGGTTTTTCGCTGACCCCCCGCTGATAATGTAAACATCTCCCGCTGAGACTTTGTGTTAAACCACATGCGCGCACACACGCGCGGACAGACGATATATTTCTATCAACATGGCGGCGGACACACTGCTTTCTGAACTACGACTGATGGAATATATTTTTAATCTCGTAGTTAATCTACATCAGATTCCAGGTGCTGTGACCGACATCTGTGTTGGAAGAGACACAATCAGATCCAGTTCTAATGTCGCTGTTTATAGAACGAGGCTCACGCACATGTCGCGCTGCACTATAACATACTAAATGTGCTAAATAATAACAGTTTATTAATAATAAACAGTATTTATGTTAGTGTGCGAGATATAATGAAGCTCTGAGCTAAATGAAGCTATCTAGACATTATGTAATTCAAATTTAAAATGATGCTAAACATGTAGCGTGAACACTAAAGTTGAAAATGAAGACATCAGGTTTAATTTTTATTTATTTATTCAACACCACAAACTGTACGTCACATAAATACTGATAATTAAACTAAACACACTATTAAAACAAGTTAACTGTAAACTACGTTAATAGTAACATGGTAACTACAACTGGCACGGTAACTACAGCAGATTCCTTCGGATGCATGTAAACACAAAATCCATCCGTGTCAACGCAAATCTTTTCCTCTAATTAACATACAAAAAAAAACATGTTTCCCCCCATCGTGTCTGTGTAAATAGGGCCTAAATTGTCCCTAGGTATGAGAGAGAGAGTGAATGGTTGTTTGTCTCGTTTGTCTCTATGTGGCCCTGTGATGGATTTGTGACCCGTCCAGGGTGTACCCCGCCTCTCGTACAGTGATTACTGGACATGGGCACTGGCGACCCCCGTGACCCAAAATGGAAGAAGCGGGTAAAAGATAATGGATGGATGGATGCTCAATTTATCTGTAATGCAACACTTTCAAAGGAACTGAACTTGGGTACAGTCACTGGAGATACGTTGAACTTCTTTTTGTAAAGAATCGCGAGACCTCCACCACAACCAGTAATCAGAGGAAGAACTGATGGGACCGGCTTCCTGTTTGAAAAAAGCATCCCTTTGGTTTTATCCCCTCCCTGGGCTGCCACCTTACCGTGGTGGAGGGGTTTGAGTGTCCCAATGATCCTAGGAGCTATGCTGTCAGGGGCTTTACGCCCCTAGTAGGGTCACCCATGACAGACAGGT